CAGGAGGATGAGCAGGAGCATTGTCGAGGAGAAGCAGAGCCTTGAGTGGCAAATGTTTCTCCTGCAGATATTTATTGATGGCAGGGCAAACCACTTCATTCACCCACTCGGTAAAAAAATTGCCTTGTCACCCATGCCTTACCATTAGCCCTCCACATCACACACATTTTGCTTTTCTGCACATTATATTTTTTGAAAACCCTTGGATTTTCAGAATGATACACAAGCATGGGTTTAATTTTCAAATCCCCACTCGCGTTACCACACAGCACAAGAGTTAGCCTATCTTCCATAGGCTTGTGTCTGGGCAGTGACTTCTCCTCCTGGGTAATGTATGTCTTCGGCAATCTTTTCCAGAATAGCCTCATCTCGTCATAATTAAATACTTGTTGTGGTAGGTATCCTTCACTCTGCACAAAATCTTTAAATTCGCCAACAAATCTTTCAGCTGCTGGTTTGTCTTGAGCTGGCAGCCTCCCCATGCCTCACAACACTATGAATGCCACTTCTTTTGCTAAATTTCTCAAACCATCCCCTGCTTTCCTTAAAATCTTTTGCATCTGCATCACTTGTTCTAGGGGTGTTTATTATAAGATCTTCATGCAATTTTCTTGCTTTTTCACAAATGATGGCCTCTGAAACTCTATCACCCACTAACTCCTTGTTGTGTATCCAAATTAATAATAACTGTTCAACATCTTCAAGTGTTTGTGTTCTATGTTTCGTGATTATTGTTACACCTTTTGCCACTTTAGCACTCATAATGTCCTTTTTCTTAGCAAGTACAGCATTACCTATGCTTACGAATTTAATCCGTTCCCAGAGACGGTTTTTAAGCCGAAAATCCGTGAACCGAAGCGAATTTTCCCATAAGAAATAATGTAAATTGATTTAATCCATTCCACACTCCCCAAAAAATTAACTTCAAGGTAAATTTTATACCTAATTCAAACCAAATCTTTAGTACTAAAGTATGTACAAGTTATTGCTTACCTTTATTGATGACTTTTGTTGGCGTATGGAAGACGGTGAGGTGGGAGGAGGAGAGGTGTTTAGTGTTTGGAATGGGAGTTCCCTTCCATTATAACATCAGGCAACTCTCTCTGGCCCATTTTGCCTGCATACCACTATGACCTGCTTGTGGCTCACTGCTTGATTTTCTCACTAAAAATCTATCCATAGAGGATTTTTTTCCTTTCGTTGTAATACTTGTCTGTAGTGAGGCATTACAGTGTCATTAAAAAGGTTAATGCCACGGCCTACTACAGCTTGCTCTGGGTGAGTCGTTTCAACAAAAATTTACATTTCTTCCCACAGTCTACACCACTTCCTAATTGTTGAGGAAGGGACATTCTGTACTACTTCCTCCTTCCCTGAAGACATTTCCTCAGCTTCCTCTTCTTGCTGCTCCTTGTAAAGGCTAGGAGTTCTTTGGTGGTCAGTTCTTCGCTGTGTTCCTCCACCAACTCCACATCAGCACCATCTAACTCCCAGCCCAATTTCCAGCCCAGAGTAACAATTTCCTCAACAATAGGCACTTTAGGTTCAGGCTCAAACCCTTCAAAATCTAGTTCTGAAACACATTCAGGCCACAATTTAAAGGTTGAACATTACCACTGGCTTTCGTGGGACCCATGGCAAGATATATAATAATAACTTTTATGTTTAAATACCCAGAAATCCGAAAAACACTGAAATTCTTTACAAAGAATTCAGGCGCGATTGTTACTAGGCGGGAGGCACAGTTGCTGTACCACCATGAGCTAGGTCGGCCATACGCGTATCAACAAACTTAGTTTCCAGAGGCAAAGTTCGTAACCCGATTTGGATTTTACGAAGAAATTGGGCTCGTTATCCGAAAAGTTCGTAAAGAGGGAGATTCATAAGCCGAGGTGTCACTATATGGTGGATATCTTTGACATAGGTTTGTTGTACTGTCTAGCTTGTTCAACAATCTGCACACCCTCTTCATGTCTATGAATGATCTCTTGTTTTTCCTCTATGGTCATCCTCACATGTGTTTTCTTGGGTTGAACCTTACCACTGACTTTCTTGGGACCCATGGTGTGATATATAGTAATTACTTTTATGTTAAAAAAACAAAAAAGCACAATAATAATGGAATTCTCTACAAGCACGATCGTCATTAAGTGAACTTTGGTAAACAGAGGCCGGGTCAGCCCGTGCCACCAGGAACCACGCGCTCGGTCGACCCAAATGCATGTGAACAAAAGTCGCTAGTTGAGGCATCGCTAGTTGAGGCAAAGGTCGTAAGTCGAGTTGCATTTTCCGACGAAGTTTACATCGTAACTCAAAAATTTCATATGTAGGGGCAGTCGTAAGTCGAAGTCGAGGTGCCAATGTACCTTTATATTTATAAATACCTGTACTAATGCCAAGGTTGGTTTAATGAGAGGTGAAGTACCCAAAAAAGTATTCACCACTGGGGTTAGGCTACAGGCATGTGGCAAAGTGTGTGGGAGAGCCCATAACATGCCTGAAATGTTGCAGATGGGGACATAAATCCCCATGGCGCAGTGGTAAAATACTCGTCCCGCACTTCGTGAGCAATTTGGCTTGGGTTCGTATCCTGGCTGGGGAGGATTGACTAGGCTGCAATCCTTAACTGTACACCTGTTCACCCAGCAGTGAGTGGGTACCTGGTTGTTAAATGATTTGGCTGGTCATATTCTGAGGAAAATTAGGATTAAGGACTTGCTCAAAATGCTATGCATGCTAGTAAAGGTTATATCTACAAGAATGTAACAACTCTTGTATATATATATATAATTAAAAAAAAATGAAAAATATATGAATCTTGGAGCTGTCAGAATGATCCACGATGTCATTTCTGCGGAAAACCTCACATCTCTGATGTATGTAGGATTAAAATTTAAGGATTTTGAAGAATTCTAGTGAAGCCACTAGAAGATTCAATGGAATCCCTCGGTTGTATTGCTTTTGACCATGTCATGGTATAGTTGCCCAGGGCTATTGCTTGGGAATACCAAGTGAGCGTGTTCGAATCCTCCTCGTGGCTCCTACTGATTTTTCTCATTGAAATAGTAATAGTGTTTGAAGAAATGGTAGAAGTAGTGCATTTGTTTTCTCTAACATATCAACAGCAAGGTCATATAAAAATACTTAACCACCGTGCTGTGCCGAGTTTATTGTGAAATTCCCCCGGTGCGCATGAAATAAAGTGTTCCCAAAAAATCATTTTTTCTTCGTAAAATGATAAATTCCCTTCCCTGAACATGTCTATGTAAAAATAAATACCAAATTCCACTTACTTTGGCTGTAAGGACGTGGACAAAGTGCGCTGTGACGTCATCAGGGCCTGGTCGCCCGTGCATGAATCGCCCAGACATGGTCGTGCGGGCCATTCAAGCACCAGGTGTTGCCACAAATGTATTTTCAGTTATTTGTTCTATGTATTTCCAATGCAATTTTATTTTTTTTTTATCGTATATGATGCATATTTGTGTCCTTTACAATATGTATACAGTAGAATGTTCATAATGTTCCATGGAACTGTGATACATGTGTCAGTAATGTGTCCACAATAAATGTTTATTGTCGCAATATTACTTGTTAAAAATTCACTAAAATTACAATATGTAGTTTCACACACTATTTACACAGTAATACACTGTATTACACACTCAGTACTTTGGAAGTGAGTAATAATCAATGATATAGTCCATGGTACACAGCGCGACTTCGCTCACGTTGCACTAAATACAGATAAATTTTTGCTTCCTGTTTCTTCATTCTGTGTGCTTGCAAATAACGCACTCATGTACACCCTTGGCTTTAGTACTTGTAGGTTGTATGTAGCCAAGCTTGTAAAGTATAAGGTAGTATTGAAAAGATTATAAGAAAAGATCAATTTGTAAGGTAGTCTTGAAAAGATCGCTTTTGTATGATCCCACACAGGAAGAGATTCAGCTTGCCTCAAAGAGTGTCCATCAGTCAGGAAGAGATTCAGGTGTTCTTGAAAATATCTATGGAAAACACCACCATGGAAGCCGCTAACACTGTTCATCTATGCTACTTGTATCAGATGCATCACTGCTGAATGCAGAAAGCGAATTCATCTATGTATTACAGTATCTAAATAAATTGGAGATAGCATAGGATTGCAAGGATGACGCTCAGAGCTACAACTGGATACTCTCGCTGTATCGTCCTCATAGGTGCTGTATCACTTGCATCCGACTTTTGTGTTAGGTCCTTATTGCATCTAGCTTCACCAATATTATGACCCTTATGTTCTTCAAACAATAAAGTTTGAATTTTGACAGAGCGTTATCTTTCAACACCGCGTCAGACAGGTGTTTGGGAGCCAGAGGAGCGTGCGCCACCCATAGTTGCTCATTCAGTACTAACCCAGCCAGCAGCCCTAGGGCATTCTGGGAATTTTTTCCAAGATGGGTACCTCTCACTGGAGGTCCTAAGAGTCCATTTCGTACACAACCAACCTCGTACACATTTAGAATTGGTACCGAAAAATCAAAAAGAGTTTTCTCGGTTGGTGCAGTTTCCCGCCGACCGAGAATACTCGGTTGGCGCAGTTAAGTGGTTAAGGCATTGGATATAGAATAGTGTACATTAATAATTTTTAATAATTTAGGGTGCCAGTACACAGGTCCCTGTGTAGGTACAGTCGGGTTCATTATCATTATCACAATTGAGAATTCTGGGTTCAAATCCCGGACAGAAATGGTTGGGCACATTTCCTTTCACCTAATGCCTCTGTTCACCTAGCAATGAGTAGGTACTCGGCTTGTTGTGGGGTTGGATACTGGGCGGGGTCAGTAATTCGGTCTTGGGGAGAGGGGGGAGGAACCTCGATAAAAGCCAAACGTGTATGAATACACTGGCTTCCTGTCCTCCGATAAAATGAATTATAAATTAAATTGCAATACTGTATGTAATTTTGCAGGTCAGTTATATTTTGTTGGTATATATGTTAGCATATTTATTTATTTTTGCAGCTGTGAACATGGATGACATCTTCCATTGGTGCCGTGAAGGCAACACTGTACAGGTTCGACTATGGCTTGACGACACCGAACATGACATGAACCAAGGGTAAGAGTAAAAAAATTCATGTTTTTAGGTATCCATATAAATATACATATCCATATCTATTTTAGGTATCCATTAGGTATCCCTGGTAAGGATACCTAATAGTTTTGGGATGTTTATATTTCTTCTTCCTTCTGATAGGGTTCTATTCAATATCTTGAGAAGGCCTCATCATCTTGGCTTGAATCTTGTAATGCTGTTCTGTATTGTACTTAATGTGGAGTCAAAAAGTATGATTGTTGTTGAAATTGAGCATATACAGTATTTCAGTTTTTTCTGGAGGCCACCCCCTTGGTAGCTCCCTGATGCTATTGTACAACCCATTCTCGCAAATTTAATAAGTCAATATTGACTTATTAAATATGTGCATAGGTGACATACTTAACATAATAGATACCCTTAAAAAGATTCATAGAAAACACCGACCTTACCTAACCTTGTTAGTATCTTAAGATAAGCATCTTATTGCTTCGTAATTACAATTATTACCTAACCTATAATAGGTATAGGTTAAGTAATAATTGTAATTACGAAGCAATAAGATGCTTATCTTAAGATACTAACAAGGTTAGGTAAGGTCGGTGTTTTCTATGAATCTTTTTAGGGGTATCTATTATGTTTAGTATATCACCTATGCACGTAGTTAATAAGTCAATATTGACTTTACGAATTTGCGAGAACGGGTTGTATTGTACTATGATTGCTCTATTCCAATGTGTTATCTAAGATGCTATCTAAGATAAGTTATCTAAAGACAGGTGCAGTGGGAGAATGATAATTTGCCACCACACCTGGAATGCACACAGAAAGTCAGAGAAGCTTTACAGACAGAAAATGAAGCCTTGAAATGGCCAAATAATTCAGCACTCTTCTGTTGTGCTTTGCACTGCATGTGTTCATAGTTTCCTTCCCTAGGTGCTTGCTAGCACTGCCCTTGGACTGATATAAGTTCCCCTCTGGTGAGTTTGGGAGTTTGCCCTGGTAGCCAGGCCACCAGGGTTGAGAGCCCCACTTTGGGCTGTTTTAAGGTCTCCTTTGTTTTTTGACTGGTAGCATTGTTAGTAGTGCCTGGGGTGCACTGGGGTTTGTGGCTTGTTTCTATGGAGTGCCACAGTTGTCATTCATAGTCTGGTTGTTTTGGTAGAGTATGATGCCTGCTTTTCCGATTAGCAGCCCCAGTGCCTGGGTGTCCTGCTTGGTTAGCTGCCTTTAGACCCCTGGTAATCCCCTCATGGGTCTCTGGCATGGTCCATTATGGGTTGACCCGTTGATTGTTGTTACAGGGGGAAAGAGGAGGCCTTTTTTTTTTTTTTTTTTTTTTTTTTTTTTTTTTTTTTTTTTTTTTTTTTTTTTTTTTTACACGCTCTTCTAGTCGAAGCCAACACTTTACCCCTGTGTGCACCTGGAAACATGGGGACCTTAGCAACTCCCCCAAGGACCGTCAGACATCCATACTGTTCCCAAAGGGCGGTATGGTAAAACGAGAGGTGTCGAGGATTTCAGTACATGTGGCAGTCACGTCTACCAAGTCACACTGTTATTTCACAATAATCACGGTAGACACCTCTACGTCCAGTTCCAAAGAAATTGACTACTCCAACATCCAACACTCCAAAGGTACCTCTCAAGCAATTTATGAGACTAGGATCCCCGATATCGTCAGCCTTAAATTTTCTTTACTCGGTGATTAATGAGGTCTTTAATTGACATTTGAATACTATTGAGGTCTTTCGTATAAATCAAAGTATGGCTAAGATCAAACAGAGGCGAACAGAAACATTGTCTAAAATTGATAACAATATTTACTAAGAAAAGTATACATATTCAGAAATGACGACATGCCAGCACTAGCCCCCATTCACTGTGAAAACTAAACGGCCACTCTCGGCCCTCATTGATTCAATGTTGCTATATTCAACCTAAGGATGCAGGTTACCCAGGATTTTTCTGCTCTTGCCATTCTGTCCCTGTTGGAGGCAGTCTGGTAAGGTTGGTCCATGCCTGCTGTTGGTCCAGGTAGGTCCTCGGGTGAGTCAAATTTCCGGGCCATTGTACTTCCTGCTAAAGCAGTGGCTTGTGGCTCTTCTATTTGATGTTGTAACTGCGTCATGGAAGGATGGGTTCTGCTCATGGTTAGTGTCAGCCTTTTTTTTTTGTAATTTGTCCCTTTAACACTGCCAAAGGGAGAAGGGGGGAGGGGATTGTCTGGTTTGTTTTTCTAGCTCTTGATCCCTTGATTTATAGACTTTTTGGGTCATTCCCCCTCGGTCTGTGGTGGAGTTGGTTGGTTCCTCCCTCATTTTTGGGGTGAGGACTTATGGGCCAGGCTTTCTCCCAGGTACTGCATCAGGTCATTGCATGTTGGCTGGACTTGAGCATGGTTGAGATGACTGTCTCTCTTTGGTAGGTGTACCAATTGTTTTCATTTGGTTCAACGAAATGGGACTCGGTGAACCTAAGGTACCGTACATCCATGATCTTTCAGGATTAATCAGTTTCACTCTCTGCCCAACCTTCCACATAACCACTTTGGCCCAAGTTCACCTGCTACTACAGGTTGGATTTTGGATGGTATCCCTGGACATCCAGGATGCATATTGGCATGTCGCTATACATCCCAGGTTCAGGGGCTTGCAAGGTTTCATTGTTGGGCATTAGGCTTGCTGTTTCAGGCTTCTTCCTTTCGGCTTTAACCTGGTTTCCCCCATATGTTACCGAAATTGTGCTGTCATTGTGACCCAACTACATCACTTGGGGGTTTGTGTGTTGGCCTATCTCAAGATTGGCTGGTTTAGGCTCCCATTCAGTTAACGTGTTAGCTGGCCAGGGATCTGGTGCATTCTCAGCTCGCTGGGTTCGGCTTCCTGATGAACTGGTTGAAGTCATAGTTGTTTTTATCTCAAGTTCGAACTTTGCTGGGCTTCATTTGGACTCTTGGTCAGCTTTTCTGTTTGTGCTTCTGATGGTTTTGCTCTGCCTGTTGCTTCATCGTTCTCAGCTGTTTGGTCGGCCTGGATAACCTGCCGGTTGGTCGAGTGGTTATGCAGGAGCCTGAAACTTGCCTACATGGTTTGACCACTGTGGCACCTTGTTCAAAGGCTTACATATCCCAGCTCGTCCAGTATCATTAAATCTAGCTAACCTTTTGTCTTCCCTTGGGCCCACAATATTCACAAATTACCCTGTTTTGGTTGTGGTCACTTTCCATGTTCTTGGCTGATATTCAAGCTTGGAGGTTTTGGAGTTCTAGCAGGGTTCTGGTGGCCCAGTAATTAGTTAATGTTCCTGGTCTCAGTTGGTCATTTATTGCTTTGGGCCATGTCTTCCAGCCCGGGTTCTCTTCGTCCTATTTCCTGCGGCCACTCCTCTCCAGTAAGTCTTTTTCTTTTGTTCTCTGTGGTTGGTTAGTTTTATGGAGCCATGGGAAGGGGAGGCTCCCCCAAAAACCCAGTGATAAATGTCATGAAACTCTTCTGATTGGTAGAGCCCCCCGGTGGCTCTCTGATTCCCACCCTTCCCTCCAGGTTCATTAGTTTGTCAGAGGGTTTTTTGTCAGCTCCAGCACTAGCCAGGGAAGCAGGCTGTGGGTAGGGACTGGGCTGCCGGGTGGTGGCTATTGGTACTGTACTAACAAATGTTGAGCTAGTTTGAGTGAATCTTTTGTTCCTTGTGAATCATTTGTGGAGTTGTTTGGTGGTTTTAATGCTTTGATTTCTGGGAACCCTCCAGTTGACAGTAAAGCTTTCTGGATACATTATCCTTGCATTATTATGTTTGGTACCAGGGTACTTGTGCAATTTGAGGGGTGGGTCAGGGTTTTCAGAAGATTTGGCCCTCCACTCTTCCGATATCTTGCAGACCTGCTCAGCTATCCATTCCTGTGTTCTGCAACATCTTTCACACTTGTCAGACAAGAGTGTACATGATCTCGTACTCGGTGATCTCATACTTGCCAAGGGTGTTGCACTTCTTTCCTGTATCCAAGTGAAATACAGTACTCTCAAACCTCGTTTCATTCTGGACCTTTCTGTTCTCAGCGAGTTCATTTCTTGTTCCATACTCCAGATAAAATCCATGTCCCCAGGTTCACAGGTTAGTTTTGAGCTCATTTTGAGCTTAGCTCATTTCCCTGGATGTCAGGTAGTAGTCAGGGAAAGTAAAAAAATCCAATTTGGCAGCATGCTGCTGCTTCTGGAATGTTTCCTTATCAAGACTATTCAATAGCTTGGCCGATAAAACTTCGGCCTCACAAGCATGGGGTCCACGGTTCGAGTCTCCTAGAGCCCAGGTGAATGGAATGTTTATTTCCCCGAAAGTGTTGATGAAAATTTATTTTCCTATTGATATGTTCTCATCATTCCTGAGTAGAGAGATTGGCTGATGTTCAGAGTGGCACATGGTTTTTGCTGTTTGGACTCGACGTAGCTTCTAGAGTCTTTACCATACTGATGAATGTGGTCCTCTTCACATTTTTGTCTTCCGAAATCCATGTTTTGGTCTACCTCGACGACTGGCTGATTTGGGTCCCCAGTTTACTGGCTTGTCTGGTGGTCACTTCACCTGAGGAAAATGCACATTACTGTGTGAGAGCTTATGGCAGTTTGTATGGCATTTGCCAATGGGACTCTGCTCTCGGTCTTTATTTGAATTAGGATCCTGTGGTTCAGTACCTCATGAAGGGGAGGTCCAGTCCTTACCCTGTAGGCTTGGAATTGGATGATAGCTACATTTCTGGCTTAGGATTCATTCCTCAGAGTGGTTTACATTTGGGATGTGTCAACAGTTCTGGCATAGTCTTTCTATGTGGATGGAGCTGCCGCTTTCTGGTTTTGTAAGATGTTTGCCATCTGGGGGTGGACCTGTTTGTCTCAACGTTAAACCAGCAGCTTCTCGTATAAGTGGCACTTATTTCTGTATTGTGAAGCGATTGCAATGGAGGCATTTTGCCAGGATCAGTCTTGCCTTTACTGTATCCCAGCCCACTTACCTACCTTGATAGTTTCAAGATTGCCCACCAATCTTTGCATATGGAGTCTTCCTTAATTTTGTATCCACATAATTCACTTCTTTTTCTTTTGTTATCAACTGCTCTCAACACTTCATCACACCAAACATCTTGTTATACAAATGCTACGTTATTTGTATAACATGATAATGTTCGTCCTTCGGATGCAAAGATGACCATGATTTCAATATATCAGGTTGAAGGTCGGTGGCTGCGTACCAGATGATGGAGGACAAGACCAATCTGGGTCTGGAAGGCTTGCCCACACACAGAACATTTGTGGGTGGGTGCTACTGCAGAGGTGGAGATTGCTCTAGCTTTGTGCGTGGCGTGTTTCCTCTGGGCCTCTGCAGTCCATCTATTTTCTGCCTCATAGACCCCTATGGTGACTTTGCTTTTCCATGTTGGATGGTCCTGAGCAAGCAACTCCCAAGTATTGGTGTTGATGTCCAGTTCTTTTAGGGGTCACCTTGAGGCAGTCCTTGTATAACATACAGTATATTAACACACACTGCTGTCCCTATTCCCATCCCATCCCTGCTGTCTCTCACCTTCCCAACTTCCACCGATGGCACTGAATCGGATGTTGTTTGAGAACTCGCAACACTGATGGCTCGTATCTATCTATATATCTATCAAACGTCATTCCCATCTAAATAAGGTCAGACAGGTGAGCAAATTATCACTAGAAATTATAATATTTGCTAATACTGCATGTTTCTTTACTCTTTGCATGTTTACTCTGTTTCTGGTTCAACTGTTTTCTGCTTGTGTTCTGCATGACTGACTAGATTATTGTTCAATATTGTTTAATGGTTTCAGAGATGACCATGGCTTCTCCTTGTTACACTGGGCTTGCAAAGAGGGACACTTTGGAATTGTGGAGATGCTGGTTACCAGGGGCGCTCGCATCAATGCCACGAACTTAGGCGACGACATTCCCCTCCACTTGGCAGCAGCCCATGGTCACCGGGATATTGTTAGCTATGTAAGTAATGAGGAGTTAATGTTATTGTATTGAATGGGTCAGAGTAAAGAATCTAGAGGGAATCCAATTGTGTTAAGAACATAAGAACATAAGAACAAAGGTAACTGCAGTAGGCCTATTGGCCCATATGCGGCACCTCCTGTTTATAACTATCCAATCCCACTCATATACATGTCCAACCCACGCTTGAAACAATCGAGGGACCCCACCTCCACCACGGTATGCGGTAATTGGTTCCACAAATCAACAACCCTGGGAGCCGGTTGGCCGAGTGGACAGCACGCTGGACTTGTGATCCTGTGGTCCCGGGTTCGATCCCGGGCGCCGGCGAGAAACAATGGGCAGAGTTTCTCTCACCCTATGCCCCTGTTACCTAGCAGTAAAATAGGTACCTGGGCGTTAGTCAGCTGTCACGGGCTGCTCCTGGGGGTGGAGGCCTGGTCGAGGACCGGGCCGCGGGGACACTAAAAGCCCCGAAATCATCTCAAGATAACCTCAAGATAACCCTGTAAATGTTTCATTCAAACATTGAACCCTGTGTTGAATGTTTGAACATTATTGAAATATTGCTCGTAAATTGAACATTATTCAATTTACGAGCATTTTGAATAATGAGTACGCTGATCCCCGACAATTTGTATCAATTGGCGAGCGCTAGTTTGATTAACGAGAAAACCACATGGTGCGTTCCCGCTGCTTCTCACACATTCTCAGACGCTTCCGACGATGCAAATAGATTACTGTATTTATTTTGTTTAAAGATTCTAATGATGCTGGGATGTAAAAGGGTGACTGCTGTGATGTTGCAAAGCATTGTATTTTTTTGTAGAATAAACCAAAAAAAATGAACAAATTTAAAAAAAGGAAAAATGGCATGAAGGTTTATTCAGTGTATGCCAGGTAGGCTGCTCCATTATTAATAAATAAATGAAAAATACAAAACAAATTTAACACATTTGAAACAAAGAAAGATTGTCATAATGGAGCAGCCAACCTGACAAACATTGAACGAACCTGTATGACATTTTTCCTTTTTCTAATTTGTTAATTTTTTTTTTTAAGAAACATAGAGCGGCCTACCTGACATACACTGAACGAACTTTTTGCTATAAAAACGAAAAAATAAAAAAATTGAACAAATTTGAAAAAAGGAAAAATATCCTAAAGGTTCGTTCAGTGTATGTCAGGTAGGCTGTTCCATTATTTACAAAATCGAATATCATATTGATGTTTTTCGGTGGTGGGATGGATTATTTTTATTTCAAATATTTTAAATGGGGAAATTCGTTTTGAAAGATGAGCATTTCACATGACGAGCTCGGTGCCGGAACGGATTAAATTTGTTAATCGAGGTTCCACTGTACATATTGTTAAAATTATTAAAATTTCACTCTTAACACTTTCGCCCGGGCATGACGGAGCATTGCTTCATCTGTTTACTGTCGGTAATGCCAGGGATGACACAGCATTGCGTCATCCACTTTAAATAATCGCCAAAAATCAGGTTTTTATCCGATTTTTTGGGGACTGGTTTTAAAATGCGCGCCGATGTCTTCCCATTTTCTTTGTTGAGCCTCGTGGCCCTCATGCGGCTTGGCACACGCCGTGGGCCCATTGTTTTCGCTCCACTGTTGTGACCAATGTCGCCTCCCCTTGCATCTCAAACGTGTGAACATTTCAGCTTTTTTCTGTGGCTATATTTCTTACTGCGGCTTTAGAAACTATCTACGCTTACTCCACGATGGATAGTGATCATGAACAAGGCCCTTCCAGGAAGAAAATTGTGAAAGAAAGGCTTGAAAAGGGCGGGGATTGGGAGTGTAGCTGGAAGGCGTCTGAGCGCTCACTTGCGGCTAACGCGTGGTCCGTCTTCAACTCGTCGGCGGTTGGAGCGTGACCAGGTTTTTTATTTTATATGCTAATGTTCCTCTAGAGAATTCTATTGCGAACCCATTGAGACCAAAATGAAAGACGTAGGACGATAATTGAGGTGACCAGAGTGAAAATAGTGAAAACATTTTATCGCGTTTGCGCGCTCCTGGGTAATTCGTTCGCACTTTCTCTGTTTGCTGCGGGTAATTAGCCGGGCTTTTGGAGTTTATATGCATTTAGTGCTGTAGAGAATTCTATTGCAAACACAATGATACAAAATTTAATCTCGTAGGACGAGAATTAAGGTGACAAAGTTGAAGAGAGTATACACTTTTCAGAATTTACGCGCGCTCCCGTGACACCCTGGGTCCCATATCGCACAGTTGAGGGGTGGTGCGCGGGGTACGCCAAAGTGTTAAGTTTATTTCTATATTACTATAAGTATTGTATGGTTCCAACAAGTATATACAGTAAACGCAATACAGTAATACAGTTGTTAATATCTACCCTACAGCTCCTTCGGCACAAAGCTGATGTCAACTTCATCAATGAACATGGAAACACCCCTCTCCACTATGCATGTTTCTGGGGCTACGAACTGATTGCAGAGGACCTAGTGCAGGCTGGAGCATCTGTTTCCATTGCTAACAAATATGGGGAAGTGCCCCTTGATAAGTGCCGTGGACTATTGGCCAAGCAGCTCCACAGTAAGTTTTTTCATGATTTATTGTTCAGTTTTAACAAAAGTGGAAATTAATGACCACAGTATGCAAATTACTTATAATTAATTTAATATTTAGTTTATTTGTTCAGTTGGCCAGGTTTTTTGGGGATTTTTAACTCATCATTGCCCTTGTGGATTTGTTCACTTGATAGTTCACGCTAGTGGGATTTCTTTGTGTATACAGTGGTACAGTACCTTCGTTTTCGAATTTAACCTATTCCCAGAGACAATTCGAAAACCGAAACAAATTTTCCCATAAGAAATAATGTAAATTTAATTAATCCGTTTCACACACCCAAATATATTATCTTAAAAATACTGTACATTTATTTTTTCGGTCCGGTCCCGTTTCGGGGCCGGAAACAAACCTTTCCTGTGCGGAGCTGAGGTTCATTCAGGACTTGTCCATCTGAACCCCTGGGTCTATTGCCCCTCCTTTCAGATGACTATATTGTCCCAGGTTCGGCTTCTCTTGGAGCTGGGCGCTTGGATAATGTCCCTGGACCTCCGGGACGCATATTGGCATGTCCTGATTCATCTGGGGTTCAGGGACTGGCTCAGTTTTGTTGTGGGGCGTCAGGCTTATAGCTTTTGTTGCCTTCCATTCAGCTTTAATCTGGCAGCTCGCATGTTCACACGCCTTACCCCAGGTCGTGGTAGCCCATTTGGGTCTCTAAGGGGTTCGGGTTCTGGCCTATCTCGACAACTGGCTGGTGTGAGCTCCAAGCCGGTCCGCTTGTCTGCTCACCAGGGATTTGGTTCTTTTCCAGCTCACCAGGTTTGGGTTCCTTGTGAACTGGAGGAAGTCCCATCAGGTTCCCTCTCAGATTCTGTCTTGGCTGGGTCTTGTGTGGGACTCTCGGACCGCTTCCATGTCTCTCCCTCCAGAGGCTCTGCTTTGGCTGCATTCCCACCTTCGCCTGTTCTGGGGGGCTTCTGGGTCGCGAGATGGTTGCTCGAGTGTTTGTGCAGGAGCCTGAACTTTGCTGTGATGGTCTACCCATAAGGTTGGGTGTCGGCTGTTCTGGTTCCTTCGGGGACGTCCCTTCCGCCTTTCTCGCGATTGCTGTGTTCGACCTCTGGGTGCCTTGCGTCAGCTGCTGTATCACTGGCTTTCTCTTCGGATTTTTCGGGGTTCAGTGCCTTGGCGCCTACCCGAGCCCTTGCTCGATGTGTTAACAGATGCATCATCTCTTGGTTGGGGCTTTGTGACCAGTGCTCACCAGGCCAGCCAGGGGCGGTGGGGTACATTTTTCCATCGAGCCCACAGCATGGTGCTGGAGTTTGCGGCGGTGTGGGAGTCACTTCGGAGGGGTCAAGTCGCTCGGGGATCGACGATCTGGCTCCATTAGAACTGCTTCCCGGTGGTTCATTGTATGAACCAAGAGGATTCAATGCGGTCCTTGGCTCTTTGGGGATGGTCGCTTCAGGTGACTTGAGTTCTCAGGGTTTGGCTCTCCTGGCAGTTCACGTTCGGGGAGTGTCCAACGTCTTGGCAGACGGCCTGTCTCAGTTCCTTTCCCTGTCCACGGAATGGATGGTTGACGCTGACTCCTTTAGTTGGCTCTGTCAGACGTACAGGTTCCTGGAAGTGGACCTCTTTGCATCGGCATGGGAGAGGCGTCTCCTGGTATGCATGCCGCCTTCTCCGACTGCGAGGCCATCAGGGTCAATGCCTTGCAGAAGGACTGGTCTAGGTGGGATTACCTGTACCTCTTCCTTCCTGGTTTAGCTGTTGCTCCTGGTCTTAGCTCGCTTGGAGACTTACCAAGTGAGAGTAGTCTTTTTAGCTCTTTGGTGGCTGGATCAGCTTTGGTTTTAGGCGCTTCTTGCTCGTTGTCCGAACCCGGAGGTCTTGCAGCGGCTCCGACTCTTTCAGCAGATCGGACCGGTCTGTTACGAGGCTGGTTCGTTCTTCTCCTCAAGTCTTCACATATAGTCTTCCTGACTCGAGTCAATCACCACTTGTATGGTGAGCAGGTGGCTTCATTGTTAGTGTCCCACCTGCGTGCTTTGTCTCGGCGGCAGTATGAAGTTTCCTGGCAGTCCTTCTGTTATTTCTTGTCCCTTCCCTGGTTTACTTCAGTTTCTGTTAGGGTTGTCTTGTCCTTTCTTTCGTGGTTGTTTCAGAACTGTCATCTTTTGCTGAATACTGTTGCCTCGTATCGTGCAACGCTGGCGGAGCCGCTGCAGCTTGCGTTTGTCATTGATGTTACTTCAGCGCCGTTTTGCAAGCTGTCTCGCCCGTTGTTTCACCTCCGGCCTGCTCATGCACCACCTGAACTGTCCTGGTCCTTGGATCGGGTCCTCTCCTTTCTTTCTTCTCGGTTTGTGGTGGCCCTTCATGTGGGAACCTGTTTGTTGTGAGAGCTTTATGCTTTCCTCCGGCGCAGGGGTTTCTGCTCTTTCAGTCCTGGTGGTAGGTTAGTTCGTTTGTAGCCGTCTCCTTTTTTGGCGAAGAATGAGACTGCTGCTGTCCGGAGGGGTCCTTGGGTGGTTGATGCTTGGTTGGTTCGGTCGGGAGTGCATCATGTGTTGTGTCCGGTTGCGTCTCTTCGCCGTTACCTGCGCACCACAGCCTCCGTGGTCAGGTACGCGCATTGGGTTGACCTGATTTCCCTTTTTCCCTGTTCAGGGTTCGGGTCTCTCATGTTGTCCACAAGGTTATTCAGTCCAGCCAGCCTGCGATCTATCCCCTGTGACCACGAGATTCGTAAGTTTTCTGCGTTGGCTGCCGTTTTCGGTAACATGTCTTGCGTTGACATTCAGGCGCGGGGTTTTTGGAGGTCAAACAGGGTCCTGGCTGCCCGCTACCTTGTCAATGTTCCTGGGCTTAGTTGGGCCTGTGTCACTTTGAGTTGGCAGTTGCAGCCAGTTATCTCGACTTCGAGTTGAGGAGCGAGTGCCGACTGCCTCCCGGGTAAGTTCCTCTTGTTTCCAACCACATGGGGGGGGGGGGGGTTGTAGGCCATTGCTCATCATGCCTCTCTGAGGGGGAGGCCAGGTTCTGGTTTGTGGTCCCTGGTAGGCCTAAGAATGCCATTCCCTTCGATGCCAGGGTCTAATACATTCATATTAGCCCGGATAGCTCAAGGGAGCCTCCGGGTCTCATCCAGAAAATGGCATTTCATTACATTCAACACTGGTCTCTTTTTCTATGGGCACTTCTCTGCCTGGCCACAGGGCAGTTCTGCAGCTTGTTTGTTTTCATGTGATTGCAGGGCATGTGAACCCGCGTTTCGGGAAGATTGTTTCGCCTCCATCTGGAGCTTTTTTTCCCTCTCGTTGCCATCTTTGTTTTGTTCTTAATTTAGGGCGTTCTGCCCTGTCCGTTCCTCTGGGAAAATTTGGGTGTTGGTCTTTTTGGGGTTCTGGGTCCTGGTTTTGGGTCCAGTGTCCTTGTCCTGTATGCTCATGCCTTCGGCCTTCGGTTTTCAGTCCATTTTCTGGCCGTTTTAACTGGTGGTTTAGTTAGGGTCATGAGTCTTGCCCTTCCTTTCATGTGCTTTTCTGGGTACCTGTTTAAGTTTTTCCTTTCTGTGGTGCATTCTCTGCCAGCAAATATGGTGGTTAAGGCTCCCCCCAGGGTTTGTTTCCAGGTTCCTTTGGGTTCTTCGGTTTGTTCGGGAAGTTTTCTTCCTCTCTGGTTTCTCCTGTGGAGGTTCCGGAGGCCCTTGGTGGGTTTCTTCCTGTGCAACCTAGCATTTGCCCCCTTGTCCCATTTTATTGGGTGCGTTCTGGGGTTCCTGGGTTTTCCCTGGCTTGCAGGCTGCTTCTTGGGGCTTGGCACTGGTTTTGTGGTCATGCTGGGGATCCAGCTTCTGTTTATTGAGGTGGGCCTTTGGTGACAGCTTCTTTGTCAGTGCCTTCTCCGGGTCCATCTTCGTCTGGTCAGCGCAGTGCTCGCTCTGCTCATTGATCGACTTCTCGGAGGGGGCTCCGGCCCCTTTGCAGGTTGACAGGGCAATGGGGGAGAAGCTGGCTCTGTTTGCCTTCACTTGGTCCCTTGATTCATAGGCGTTTTGGGTCGTGCTTTTGGGCCTGTGGTGGCATTGGGTGGCTCCTCCTCCTCTCGGAGGCTTGGGACTGGTGAGGCAGGCTTCTTCCCCTTCGCCCCGTTGGGTCATCTTGGAGTGGGTGTGCCTGGGCGTGGTCGTAACGACCTCGTCCCTCAAGTAGATTTCCCGCTTGTTCCCGCGTCGAAACATGACTGTGGAAATCTTTGGTTCATTCTGGACTTGTCCTGTCTAACCGCTGGATTACTTGCCCCTTCTACTGGATGACCTCTGTCCCAGATTCAGCTTATTTTGGGGCCATGCTGTTGGATGGTGTGTCTGGCCCTCCAGGACATGTACTGGCATGTCCCGATTCATCCAAGGTTCAGGGACTGGTTATGCTTCGAGGTGGGGCAGCGGGCTTCTCATTTTCATTGTCTTCCATTTGGCGGGTTTCTGGCACCTCACATTTTCACGCATCTTACCTGGTTCATGGTGGCCTGTCTATGTCTGCTAGGTGTTCGGGTGTGGTCTACCTCGATGACTGGTTGGTGTTGACTCCCAGCCAGTCTGCTTGTCTGTTGATGCTGTGGGACCCTCTTAACCACACCTCATATTCGGAGTCCAAGGGTTCAGTCTAGTTTTTTGTTGTTGTAGGGTTTGGGCTGTGCCTCTCCTTCCTGAGTTAGGTTATTCCAGGTTAAGTTAGGTTCGTTGTGTTCTGTGGGTTACCCTCGACCTGTTCTCTGTGTAGCAAGGTTAGATCTGATTGGTTAGGTTAGGTTGCATACCTGGTACCTATGTGTCTCTGATTAAGGTGTGTGGGCATCTGTTTGGGTGCCTGCCCCTTCGAAATGGTCCATAGAGGGACTTCCCTCATTTCCATGCTATCATCGGTGGGTCTTTTGGGAAAGTCATCCATGAGGGATGTTGCCCGTAGATCTCTCATCCAAGCCTATACCTCCGTCAGTTTGTTTTTTTAGTGTTTCTGCTAGGCCGGGGAAGAACAGGGAGAGCAAGATCCATCTCTTTTGTCCGCCCGTGCTCCCGGAGGCCCGAGTCAAAGTGCTCACACTTGAATACTCTAGAGAACTGAAGCAAAAAGAAAAGTGTATTTTCAATAGAGTTTGTGCAAACAGTGGTGAATCTGCAAAGGCTTATCGCAATCGGATGACACGTTTCTGTGTCATCAGTGTGTTTGCTGTTGGAGCAGGGAAAGTAAACTGTAGCATCCTCTGAACACAAAAAAAGATTAATGTGCAAGATAAGGTAAGGTAATTATCAGAAAAAGGGCTAAGCTTGTATGACTGTGTAGCACATGGAAGGGTTATGAGGATAAGGATCTGGGATGGGACAGAAATGGTGCCCAACCACTCTGAGAAAGGTTAGTGAGTGAATAAATTCATTCTGCTTAGATTGCCAGGATATGTCTGATTGATTTTCAGGAACGCAAGGCAAATATTACTTTTATCGTAAGTTTTCTTATTTTACAGTACTCGGTATGTTAAAATTGTATAATATACACATATAGTGTGTAAATAACACTCAGATATATTCTATCACTTGTGGTAAGAAATCCCCACAAAGTTGAATGTACAGTACTGCATTGGAAATACACTAGCAAAAAGTAGCAAAACTCTCAATTTAATGGATTGATTCTGGTCCAGAGTACTGTAATTCATTCAATCGAGGTTCCACTTCATAATTTTTATCACTGTCGTAAAAACAAAAATAGGTTTGACATTTTACCAATCTTGAACTCGATTATTTGATTGATAACTTGTTGTTCTACTCCGAATGTTTTACATTTTCCTCTGTTGGGGGGGTTATCCAGCATTTCTGACCACCTTCCCATAAATGCTGGCTAGTTGACCAGACCACACACTAGAAGGTGAAGGGACGACGACGTTTCAGTCCGTCCTGGACCATTCTCAAGTCACACAATTGTCTTGAGAATGGTCCATGACGGACCAAACCGTCGTCGTCCCTTCACATTCTAGTGTGTGGTCTGGTCAACTTACTTTAGCCACGTTATTGTGACTCATCGCCTGCTGGTTAGTGTAATGATTTGTCTGTGGATTTGTTGCTCTGTGTTAATTTGAGTACATAGCAATATTTAGTTTTAATTAAATTGTTATCCTTTGTTTCCGCACTTGTGGAAGTTTTGACCTTGGTACTACCTGCCTGTTGTCTACGTGTTGGCAGTTTCGGGGATCATTGTCCCCGTGGCCTGATCTCTGACCAGGTGTTTTATAATGGTATGTTTATATTTTGGTATGTTTTATAATTTGAATAAAAAACAATTAACACTAGAGAATTAATCATTTTCTTTTTTCTTTTTTGCAGCCATGGCTGTTGACAGTGGTCAGAATCTCGAAAAAGTGGCTTTCAAAGATCAGAGCTGGCTGGGCCTTAAGACGCGTAGTCGTAAGTCATTGCGTTTTATAACAAAATTTTTGAAAACATTATGATTTATTGAAGAGAATTTTTGTGTGGGTGTGTGTTTATAATAAGATACAGGTACCAACCTACAGTGTGACCAATGGGGGGACTGACAATAGTGTAACAAAGAGGTTATACAGTATAAGGGACCTTTATATATATATATATACAGCTTATGTTCCAAAACACATAGGGTAGTACTCACCAAGGGTTAAGATGTTGCCTCACATTCTACCTTGGAGTGATGTTTAAATCTTATTGTTTAAACAAAATAGGTTATGGTGGGCTTCTGTACACTTCAGCTTCAAAATAGTTGTACGGCTGTGTCGGTGAATGGTCATCAGCTGATTTCCTTTCTCCACGTACCTTTACACACACTTGATGCCATGGCGTCTCTTCAAGTACTTCTTTTGTCTGCCTGTCATTATACAAAGACAAGTCAAGTAATGTTTATTTTCACTAGTACAGTAATTCCATTGCCTCCTTTATGGGACAATGTTGATTTTCTCAATGTGGAACTTTTTTTTTTGTTTCATTCTGCCTCTTACTGTGCAGTTCCAATGCTTCAGCATCAACATTCTTTACTTTGTCATGACTGCCTGTCTTTGTCACATTACTTTACCACTTTTACTTTTTGGATAACAGACAGGGAAGACAGAGAAGGAGCCGGTCGGCCGAGCGGACAGCACGCTGGACTTGTGATCCTGTGGTCCTGGGTTCGATCCCAGGCGCCAGCGAGAAACAATGGGCAGAGTTTCTTTCACCCTATGCTACTGTTACCTAGCAGTAAAATAGGTACCTGGGTGTTAGTCAGCTGTCACGGGCTGCTTCCTGGGGGTGGAGGCCTGGTCGAGGACCGGGCCGCGGGGACACTAAAAGCCCCAAAATCATCTCAAGATAACCTCAAGACAAAGATTTTAGGTTTACTCTTCCAGATATAAGGAAAGAATTGTCATGCTGTCTGTATATTCAGTACACATAATACTTCCTTAAAACACCTCTCTTCACTTTTTTTTATTAACTCTACTTTCTGTTAAAACTTTATCACAGAATGTTTCCTCTTGGGTTGGTAGTAGAAGCCTTAATTGACATATTTCATGTATTTTGAGCTAATATGATAAAAAAAATGTTAACTATTTTCAACAAAACATCAAGGAATTTTAGAGGAGACTGATCTTCAGTCTGAATACACTACAAAAACACTGCTGAATTGGTACACTTACAGTTCCTCAAGCAGCTGTGAGGCACGATCTCTTAATGCAGAGAGGTGGGCACGACAGGTTGGTTGGGCAGAAGAAAATTAATAGCAGTTGTACTGTGCATTGGTTCCTCTATCGGTTGTCATGTGGAAAGATATTCTTTTATATGCATTGGTTTATTTATCACATATTCAGTACCACTGAGTAATTGTAAAGTGACAAATATTTGAAAATGTTTTTAAAATAATTATCCTGCATCTTTTTTTTTTGAGTTGACCATAGATATGTGCTTTCTTAATCAGGCGATGCAACACTCTCCAGGCATAAGGGCATTAACATCAACGAGCTAGCTCTTCACACAAAAATAGCTACGAGTCCTTCAGGGGAACTTTGGCGAGGCAAGTGGCAAGGCAATGAAATTGTCGCCAAGATTCTGGCTCTTCGAGAATGCTCTCCTCGTGTTTGCAGAGATTTTAATGAGGAATTCCCACGACTGAGGTAAGTCCATAGCATTTTATGTTATAATTATTTAAGTTGAATATTTATATGTTGGGTAACTTTGTGTATAAATTAATTCATGAGGGAAATGCAGGTATGAAATGGAACAAAAAAGCAAGTTATAATGTGGATCCATTTGACTGCTTCCCTAGCCAGAGCCTAGAGATCATCCAGGACACGACTCTCACTCCTCACTCTAGTTGACCTTTTCCCACAATAGCAAGTAACTTCGCAAATTGTCTTGTCATGTAGCTGGCTTAGGGAGATAGTGGAGGATCTTATCTTCATCAACAACCAACCTACCACTCGCTACAAGCAGAGCAGTTCACTAAACACACCTTGTTTTCTTGGCATCTAGCTGTTGGTACCCAGTTCTGCACAATCTGATTTACTTCACTTGACTGATTCTTCTCAAGACTTTTGTCTCTGTATAAGTTGCTTCGTGCTTTAGTATTCTCATCACTAAAGAGAAGAGAATACGTCACTTTTGTGTTTTGTATAGCCTTCAGTGTAGTTTGACACGCCTTGAGTTGCCCCATTACCTTAGTAGTGTCTTTGGGAGTTGGTTCTGGGCCGGGTTGTCTGTTTAGCAACACATTTGTGTGGCTATGAATGTCGTGTATTTTGGATGATGCCGCAGTAGTTCTACCCTTCTGAGTTTGGCTTCATTGAAATAATAGTGGCTTCTCTATTTTGTTTGTTTATTTTTTAAACCATGGCTGTCCTCACTGTTTTCCATCCTTAAAGTGATGGGTCTTCACTAACTTACACTCAGTATATCTTTTAGGACTGGGCTGTCATCTCTGGAATGGGCCTTGATTCGGTGGACTTGGTTTTTGTTGTGCTGCATCTTGTTGATATGGTTACTGCTCTGTATTCTTCATACTGTGAAGTTGGGTTACTGTATGAGGATAATATTAGGAAAAATAAAGCATAGAATGTAATGAAATTCACTTTTCAGGGCTGCCTTGGTAGCTCTCTGGTGAATTGGCTCTGGTACCACAGAGACATCCACAAAGCCTCTGGACTGGACTTGGGCAGGCCTATCAAGCACCAGATCTAGAATCTGATGTGTTCAAAGAGGAGAGAATGGGAATATGAGATCAACTTCAAAATAGCATAAAACCACCCAGAAAGTAAAGGAAAAGCAAAACAAATCACTTATCTTTGATTAAGCTGAGAGATGCTTGAAACATGGAAAGTGGTAGTTTGTCCAGTGTCAACAAACCATATGCTAGTATCTAAGCGTGCAACCAGATGAAAAAAAAAAATAGTGACTGATATAGGAAGCTATTAAGGCATTCTATTACATTTAATGCTTTATTTCTGAGTTAACCCTCTGTAGCTTCCCAGTGCATTCTTCCACAGCAACTCAGATAGGAAATACCCTTTAGGCTAAAAGAAATGTGTAAATAAAGGACCAAATGAAGACTATGGACTGGGGTATGAAGGTGGGAAACCCTGGGCTCAGAAGGGTACGTCCTGGGTGACTTGTCTATTCTATTGTGTGACTTGTCATGACAACTAAATGCTTCCACTGAACAAACATGATTCTGCAAAGTTCACCAATGGATCTGAATGCAGCGCAGTAAAACTTTTTCATACGCTGAAAGAATTTGTTGCTTCACAGAATGAGAGAGAGATGTTTGATGAATTTGAAAAGAATGGCAATGTCACAACTGGTGCATCAACTTATGAGGAAAACAACCAGAAAGTGTAAGTACAATGTGAATAGGAAATGTCATGATAGACCTGCACAGAAAACTGATCTGTCAGTCTTAATATGTGAACCATTTCATGTGAGTGTTTTTCCTCTTTGTCATTGATCAGCTGTGTAGCACTTTGAGTAAACTGATTTACTTACTCAGAATTGAGCACAAAGTTTGGATTTTTGTCTTGTGTTTTGCAATTGAAGAATGAACGAATGCAGCAACAGGCTGCACTTTAGGGGATTTCTTGCTTTCCTGTGGATCTGAAACCCAGCCTTGGGAATGAATTGATTCAGTTCGAAGAGTATATGAAACTGAATGTAACTGCAGTTCACACTGAAACTGAATGTAGTTTTGAACTGCATATGTTTAAACAAATTGTGTCAAAAAAAAAAAAAACGCTTCAGTCTTTTTAAATGTATGTTGTGATGTAAAAGTGAAAGAATAGAGCAGTGGCTATTCTGGCTGGTGTTAAGCCAGTCACATAAAATTAAAATAAAGTAAATAAGACTACTTCTGATCTCTTTACGGTATGAGAGCTGCGGGTAAATTCCAAAAGAATGAAAAACGTTAAACATTTAATATAACAAAAATGACTTTAATAACAAATAACACAAACCCCTTATCCACTTGGCAATACATAATATAAAATGTAAAAGAAACAAACATGTGACAGTTACGTTAAGGGCAAAGAGAGGTGCAACACAATATACAAAAAGCTGTACACATGTACTGTCTCCTGGGAAGGCTACAGTACATGTTACAGCTTTGAGAGCATGAGGCATATTCTGAGGTCTGGCCAGTGGTGAGCTGCATATATATGTGGGCCAGACCTAGTGTAGATGGCGCTTATGTGCAGGTAACTATCGCTGACAGTCTCAAACAAGCAGTTAAGGGTTCGTCAACCGGGGAGTGGCACTAGGCCCCAGACAGCAGGTGTTGTTCAGGTGTCTCCAGTACTTGAGGGTGGAGGGGGGGTGGGTGTTTTGTCTAGACACAGCCTTCTGAGCACGTATTGTTGTTGTCGTTGATGTTGATTTCTTATACTGGAGTATGCAGATATGTTGTTGAATAGGTGGTAAACAAATAGGCAGGATCTTCTTGCCTAAGCAGGAGATTACCGTAACAATGTATATTTCTTTGCAAATGTACCATTGCTTTATGGTATCCAACTGCAGTGGGGAGAGACCATTTTGGGCTCTAAAACGAATCAAGAACTACCAGAGGTCAAGACTGAAAGACAACAAATTGAACTACTTTTCATTAGTGTACATAAAGTCTGAGCATTTGTGCATACTTGACCATCAGGAAATTATTCCTGACTTTGCAAACGGAAAATGTTGAAAATTTGAAATTTTAATTTTGTTTCTCTTTTGATAATTTCTAATTTTCTTTATCAAAGAATACAATGATAATATTTAAAACATGTACTTCATTTTTACTCTTAATTTTGCTGGGCCCCCAAATTTCCCGGGCTTTAGGCATAACGCTCAACAATCCACAATGTGGGACAGAAAACAGGAGATTCCTTTTCACCCATAAGGTAATAAACCCAGTGAATCACCTACCCGCCAATTCCATGAATGTCAGGACAGTGCTTCTAGTTTAAAAGTCAGCATATAAAAAAAAGTTATAGGGAATAACTGACAGGTCTTTGTCAATCCAATGGAGACAAGGTTCCCTGTAGTTCAGTCGGGTTCTTTCTCGACGCACAATCGAGAATCCCGGGCAGAGACAGAAATGGTTGGGCGGATTTCCTCTCGCCAAATGTCCCAGTTCACCTAGCAATAAGTAGGTACCCAGGAGTTAGTCAGCTTGTTCTGGGGTTGCATCCTGGGCAAGGTCAGTACTGTAATTCAATCCTGTGGTGGGGGGACCTCGATATAAGTCTAATGCTCTGGCTGCATGTTCCCCGACACAATGAATTATATTTAATTATTGTCCCTGTCAACGTGACAGAGATGGTGGTCCTCAGGTAAGTTCAGATAAAAATTTAACACAAGTTGCAAATGTACAAAGAAATATAACACATTAATTGTGTAAACAAAGATGTTTGAAATAGGTGTGAGGTGTGATTGTGAAAGTTTGAGGGATGGCATGCTGGATAGTTTCTGTGCTGCCATGGGAGGTGATATTTATCAGTGATAGGTGGCAGCATGTAATTGGGTTGAGCACCATTTTTGACTGCCAAAGTAATGGTTTTGACCAATCTCTTATAATGGCTTGTTTTGTTAAGTGTGAGCTTCTGGCCTGACTGCCGCTTGATAGTGGTCGGCTTGTTAGGTACTGTAGTTAGTAGAGAGATGGTTGGCTTTTTCCTGATTCCAGTGATTGTTTGCAGTGGAGAGGGGGGGGGGGGTCGATACTTGGATTGTTCTGCTCATTTTTCGTGGTGCTGGTAAAAGTCAACTAGACCAATCCATTCACCTGGGCTGTATTGGTCTCGAACCGTGGTCCCTACGTGTGTGAGGTCGTAGCACTATCTAGTTTATTCAACTAGAGCATGGTATGTGAATAGTGTCCTGGGTGGACTCTAGGGTGTGGCTAGGTAAACAATCAAGGATCTAGCCCAGATAAGGGTGTATCATTTTACTTGATGCTTGTTTTATATTTTTTATATAATTGCATCTCAAATATGGAGAAAGTGCTTGACTCCTTTTGAAATAGTAGAATGCACAATTATATCTTGGAACATGTAGGTCTTAAGAAAGTCATTATCCTTGATTAAAGAATGGAGAGCAATCAATATTTGTATGAAATGGCAAAGACCAACAGCACCAAACAGCATCTATATAGTATTGCCTATATACTGCATGTTCTCTTTCTTTTCAGAATTTTCTCTCATCCTAATGTTCTTCCTGTTGTTGGATGCTGTAACCATCCCCCAAACCTTGTGGTCATTACGCAGTACCTGCCATACGGATCCCTCTACACACTCCTACACCAGGATAGCGGTATAGTGGTTGACACGGCACAGGCTCTCAAGTTTGCCTTGGACATTGCTCGTGGCATGTCCTTCATCCACTCTCTGGAGAAGCTGGTCCCCAACTTGTACTTGTCGTCCAAGCATATTATGGTGAGTCGCTAGTCACTTACCCAAAATATGGCATGATGAAATATACTTGTTTAAACTGTGTTAAAATTAATATTATTCCAACAGTTAAGTCTGTTTTGTTTCATCTTTTAGAGATTCAAACAAAATGTTTTTATATACATGAGGAATTATATAGCTAATACCGTATATATTTTGGTGTATGGGATTTCTTGAATTTTATGATGTGCATTTTTCTGAGAGGGCCCCTTGCAGCAGCTCCCTGAGCCTTAACCCCTGCACTGTGCCAGCCAACATATTAAGGGTTGGTGTGCCTGCCCCTTACATGTGATGATAGTACAGTATATCATAAGATTCGAAACTCCCCTGCATACAAGGGGGGCTCACATTTGCTTCCTCGGGCCTCCGGTAATCATCCCCCATCTTGAAATAACATCCTAAGTCTGTCATTTTCCATCCATGGGCTTAGTAACGTGACCTAGGTTACTAAGGCCTATAAAACATTCCTAAGGCCATGGCTTTAGGAACATGTAGGTAAAAATAAAATAAATATTTTTTTAAATATTATCGATATCGGTAAAAAAATATTTGTATAAAATTCATTTATTATCCGATCGACTTCGGGATAGTTTCAAAATGAGCGCCTTTAGAGTGCGCACAATTTGATACCAAAATGAAAGATGTAACACAAAACTTGATGTCAGAACACTTGAAAGATTATAAATACGTTTTTGGTCAAAATTTTAACACTTTGGCGTGCCCCGCGCGCCACCCCTCAACTGTGCAATTTGGGTCCCAGTGTTTCACGGGAGTGCGCGTTCTGAAAAGTGTATACTCTCTTCAACTTTGTCACCTTAATTCTCGTCCTATGAGATTAAATTTGGTATCATTGTGTTCGCAATAGAATTCTCTACAGCACTAAATGCATATAAACTCCAAAAGCCCGGCTAATTACCCACAGCAAACAGAGAAAGTGCGAATGAGTTACCCAGGCGCGCACAAAAGCGATAAAATGTGTTCACTCTTTTCACTCTGGTCACCTCAATTTCCGTCCTAGGTCTTTCATTTTGGTATCAATGGGTTCGCAATAGAATTTATTAGAGGAACATTAGCATATAAAATAAAAAACCTGGTCACGCTCCACCCGCCGACGAGTTGAAGACGGGCCACGCGTTAACCACGAGTGAGCGCTCAGACGCCTTCCAGCTACACTCCCAATTCCTGCCCACAAATGTTTAGTATTTAGTATTTTAGTGTATGTAGTATTATAGTTTAGTATTTTTTGTGTAGTAGTTGTACATCACATAAGCATTGTAGATAGCCATTTGCACAAAATAGGTCATTTTCTTCATCCATTTGTGAGTTTTCCTTATGAAGTAATAATATTTGATCATTTGGTCAAAGTGATCAACACCTTTCAAGTTTGTATTGTAGTCACAGATTGCATTCAACTTGTTGACAGTTACCAAACAGTCCCCAAAAAATCGGATAAAAACCTGATTTTTGGCAATTATTTTAGTGGATGACGCAATGCTGCGTCATCCCCGAGATTACCGACAGTAAACGGATGACGCAATGCTGCGTCATGCCCGGGCGAAAGTGTTAAAATGTTAAAATTTTATTTTTTGTGCTATTATTATGGGACTACAGTGGTACCTCGGAATGCGAGTGTCCCTGTATGCGAGTTTTTCGGAAGACGAGCAGTATTTACTCCAAAAATTTGTCTCGGAAGGCGAGGGTTACCTCGGGACGCGAGTTTGTTGATACGCGTACAGGCCGACCTAGCGCGTGGTGGTTCGGCGATCGTCGCCCCTCTGCCCCGCCGCCCCTCAGTTTACCATTGTCTCGCGCTCAGTGACTACCCCCACATCAATTCTTCTCGCGGATTTTCAGTGTTTTGTTGGATTTTTGGTGATTTGTCTATACAATTTGTTATTATATATCTCACCATGGGTCCCAAGAAAGCCAGTGGTAAGGATAAAGGCCAGAAAGCTCATGTGAGGATGACAATAGAGGAGAAACAAGAGATCATTCGGAAGCATGAGAACGGTACACGTGTTGTTGAACTTTGTAGGCAGTACAACAAAGCCACATCAACAATATGCACTATACTTAAGAAGAAAAATGAGATTATGGGTGCTAAAGTGGCAAAAGGAGTAAGAACATTAACGGCACAAAGACCACAAATACTTGAAGAAGTGGAAAAGTTGTTATTAATTTGGATACACGACAAGGAGCTGAGGGGTGATAGTGTTTCGGAGGCCATTATTTGTGAGAAAGCCAGGGTGTTGCACGAAGACCTTCTAAAGAATACCCCTGCAACGAGTGATGCAGATACGAAAGAGTTTAAGGCAAGCAGGGGCTGGTTTGAAAAATTTAGAAAGAGAAGTGGTATCCATAGTGTTACAAGGCATGGGGAGGCAGCCAGCTCAGACAAACCAGCCGCTGGACGATTTATTGACGAATTTAAAGAGTTTGCAGAGGCTGAGGGATACCTACCGCAACAAGTGTTTAATTGTGACGAAACAGGACTGTTTTGGAAAAGAATGCCTAAGAGGACATACATTACCAAGGAGGAAAAATCCTTGCCTGGACACAAGCCTATGAAAGATAGGTTTACGCTTGTGCTGTGTGGAAATGCGAGTGGCGATTTGAAAATTAAACCCTTGCTAGTGTATCATTCTGAAAATCCAAGGGTTTTCAAACAGTATAATGTGCAGAAAACCCATTTGTGTGTGATGTGGAAGTCTAATAAAAAAGCATGGGTGACTAGGCTTATTTTTTCGGAGTGGGTGAATGAAGTGCTGTGCCCTGCCATAGAAAAATATCTGCAGGAGAAACAATTGCCACTCAAAGCCGTGCTTCTCCTTGACAATGCTCCTGCTCATCCTCCAGGCTTGGAAGATGATTTGTTGCCTAGATACAATAAATTCCTCACAGTTAAATTCCTTCCTCCTAACACCACTCCTCTAATTCAGCCTATGGACCAGAAAATCATAGCGAATTTTAAGAAACTTTATGAAAGGGCACTTTTCCGGAAATGTTTTGAAGTGACTGAAGCCACAAACCTCACCCTCAAAGAGTTCTGGAGAGAACATTTTAACATTTGTAGTGCTTTAAAACTCGTTGACAAAGCCTGGCAAGAAGTGACTCAAAGAACCCTGATCTCTGGCTGGAGAAACTTGTGGCCTGAATGTGTGAGAGAACTAGACTTTGAGGGGTTTGAGCCTATAAATGATGCGCCTATTGTTGAGGAAATTGTTAGTCTAGGCCAGCAAATGGGCTTGGAATTGGATGGTGATGATGTGGAGGAGTTGGTGGAAGAACACAACGAAGAACTGACCACCGAAGAACTCCTAGCCCTTCAACAGGAACAGCAAGCCAACGCAGCAGCGAATGATTCTGCAGTGGAGGAGGAGGTGGCAGCAGCACCAGCGAATGTCCCTTCTGCAGTAATTAGGAAGGTGTGTCAGATGTGGGAAGAGATTCAAACAACTGTTGAACAGACTCGCCCAGAGAAAGCTGTAGTAGGCCGTTGTCTTAATCTTTTCAATGACAATGTGATGCCTTACTACAGAGACAGCTTGCGAAGAAGGGAAAAGCAAGCTTCCATGGACAGATTTGTGGTGAGGAAATCGAGCAGTGAGCCTCAACCAGGACCTAGTGGCACTCAGGTAAAACGTCCCAGGGAGAGCACACCAGAAAGGTCCTCACTGCCTGATGTGATTATGGAAGGGGACTCCCCTTCCAAACAGTAACTCCTCTCCTCCTCCCCCCTCCTCACCATCTTCCATACGCCTACAGCACTCGACAGCAAGGTAAGTAATAACTGGAACATAGTTTTGTAGATTTATTTAGATGAATTAGGTAAATTAGGTATAAAAATTTAGTTTGATGTGGGGTTTTTGGGGTAGTCGGGAACGGATTAATTCATTTCCCTTTATTTCTTATGGGGAAATTAACTTCGGAATGCGAGTTTTCGGAATACGAGGCGTCTCCAGGAACGGATTAAACTCGTATACTGAGGTATGCCTGTAGTTTTAAAATGCTCACCTTTAGATTGCAAACAATTTGATAGCAAAATGAAAGATGTAACATGGAAATTTATGTCAGAACACTGGAAAGAATTAAATAATTTTGTGATTTGAGTGTCCAAAATGAAAATATTTGTTAAAATTCCATTTATTGCTCTATTATTATGAGACTAGTTTTAAAATACGCGTCTTTTTATTGTGGACAGTTTGATACCAAAATGAAAGACGTAACACAAAAATTGATGTTATTAAACTGAACGGGTATGTATACACATTTGGCTGCGATGTGCAAATTGGTGCTCGTTCACAGGTAACTTTAGGCTTTGCTAAAGGGAGTCACGCTTGGCTTTTGGACAATATATGCATATACAACACCTGCAGGGAATTTAATTGTAAACACAATGATACCAAAACGAGCCACGTAGCACAAAATTTTAGGTAAGAAAACTGAAACGAGTATACACATTTGACTGATTTTGTGCGCTCACGGATAACTTTTGCCGACTTCAGGCTTTACTGTGGGGAGTTATGCTTGGCTTTTGGACCTTATATGTATATACACCTGTAGGTAATTCTATTGTGAACACAATGATTCCAAAACGAACGACAGCACGAGAATTAAGGTGAGAAAACTGAAACAAGTATACACATTTAATGTCGCCGAGCGCTCAACTGCATCGCCAGGAGTAGTTTGTGCATACGCGCGGACCACACGCCCGGTGCACGAAAGTGTTTTAAATCTGGCCCAATTTATTTTATCCTTTCAGGTGTTTTCTAGGGGAAGCCCCTTCGGCTCCCCGGAGCTTACTAGGCTAATATGCTAATGTCAGACTTTGGCATCAGTCATGTGTATGGAGTTCTATGGGCCTACCAGGGACTACGAGCCAGAACCTGGCCCCCCCCCTCAGAAGAGGCTAGGGGAGCAATGGCCTATAGAAACCCCCTTGTGGTTGGAAGCATTCTATGTCTGCCATCGACCGAGTCGGACAC